AATTAACTGCTTTCATTTTGACCACACCCCAAAAAAAGCTCCCTCCCCCCCCCCCCTCCCACACACACACACACACAGTCATGTGGAGTAAAATGTGGTCAGTGTAAGGTTATTTTGACATAATAATTTTTTAAGAAAGCTATTTTTCCACCAGTTATAACATCTCTTTCTTTTTTATATTTGTTTGAGTAAATATAGTCATACCCTCCAGGTCTACACACTTGCAGTTACAGCCAGTATCAAAGCTGTCATACAGGCATAGTGACCACTGCCTAAAGACATTGTGTCATCAAAAACCCAGAAAAGAAAAATGCTTTCTCACAGTGACATGATTAATGATGGCCAAACTGGACAGAACCAGAATCCTGAATCTTCCTTGGCACTTGAAGCAGTAAAAGAGGAAGTAAAGGAGTTAATACATTGAGCTGAGATTTTTCCTAAGCAGTGTGTCACCTTGGGTCAATTCTTGACCAACTGTAACCTCACTTCTCCTTTCTTCCATCTGGTTAAATGAACAGCAATCACACCAGATGACAGCGCTGAATTTAGATAAAATGTTTATTGCTGTTCCAACTTTCGCATCAGTTTGTCGCGATCCCTGGTCATCACTCGTTCCTCTCGGGGATATATTACCACTGCCACCACTTTAGATTTACAGCTCAAAAACTTAGCTAAGTACTTTGAAAATTAGAAGTTACAATCAATCTGGTTTCTCATATATGAGGCACAGCACAACAAGCATTCTCTGCCACTCTGTCATTCAACACTGGGTCACTTTTGGCTCAGCCATTTTCACTGCATACCAGATACTTGTTCCCACTGTCAGTTATAATGGTTCACTATAAACACTCTTCTCTGTCATCCTGACCTTTCTCGCTGTCAAACATCAACTGATAATTCCTACTTCCTCACCTCCAATCCTTGCTTCCCATCGAGTTTCTCCTTCCAGTCGCTCACTTTTTCATGAGAAATCACAAGCTTTCTTCATACACGCTTACCTAACTGGCCCTCAACCTGTCACACTGGGAACCCCTTTGACTCGTCAGCTTTCTCAGGCATTACATCCTCCCCCACCTATATTTTTTTTTAATGTTTACTTTTTCCTATTTGGTTACAACTGTAAGATTGAGGATCACTTTAATATAATTATATGGATATTTCCCTATTATTAATTATGGTTAAAAGCTTTTGCTTACCCTTACCTAGGATGACCTTGAATCCAATTTGCAACATCGTCAGTTGTCGTACCCGGGGAGCACAATATAGCTTGATGAGATCAGCACTCTAAGAGACTTCTAATTTAGCGTGGAAGACCAATATAGGCTCTGAAAATATCCTCATCCTATCCCACAGTCTGCGTAATGACAGACCCTCCTAATTAGGTGCAGTAGTCCATAATGGCTATGAGATGGTAATGCATATCTGCAAAGGCCCATTTTCGCTAAATGTATTAACTGGTCAGCTCCCACTGATGTCCATCTCAGTTAGGTATTCATGTGTTTCCCACCAAGGTCCTTTTACCCAATGCCATTCCTTTTGAATGGTCTCATTTGCAAATCATTTATTGTACAGTATTACCTGTTTACCCTTTTTGTATCCCTTATAACTGCACTAACAAATGATTACCTATCTATATCATTTTCTTGTCACTGTTGACACATAAGGCATTCTCAAGTGATCTCCATTGCTGCCAGTCTGCTTATTTTCTGCCTGTGGTATCCCATGTCAGTTTACATTCCTTCATTTTCTGTTCTACTGTCCTTCACCAGGTTTCCTTAGGTCGTCCATTTTCCTATCTGCTGTTTTTGCCAGAGTGTCACAAGGCATTCTGCAAACATGTCCAAGCCAACTCCATCCTCTTTTTTTGATAACATTTGCCAGTGATGCACATTCTGTTTTCCTCCTCAATTCTTCATTTGTGATCTTGTTGGGCCAAAATATTTGTAGAATTCTCCTTTAACATTTATTTTGAAAAGTCTCAAGTTTATGTGTAATTCCTGCTGTCATTTCCCAACATCCACTGTTGTATAATAGCATTCCTAAAAGTTGCTCTTGTATATTCTGAGTTCTGTCTTTAAACTAAATCCCTTTGATTACCAGTGTGGGGAAAAAAACAATTTTACAATTAGTGTGAAATTTTTTTAAACAAAATTCTGATATGTTTCATTTCAGATCTTCTTTCTTATAGTTATCTGTCACTATAGTCTCTGTCATGACTGTCATATTATTAAAAATAAAACATGAAGAAAAAATCATTCATACATCCTTTTCCATTTCAGTATAAAAGACAATAAAATAATTGAACATTACATTCGTTTTTCTTTTGCATTTACCTAGATTCACTGTCTCATATTTGCTATGTTATTTCATTTTACAATTTCCCCTGCACAATTTTTATAATAATTAAATACATCAATCAAGTTTGAGTTTATTGTAGTTTGATATTAAATGTTTATAATCTGGATATCATGTCAGGCAAGTGGCTATCAATCCCTTTGTTATGTTATATTTTAAACTTGCCCATCTTTATACCCTGGCATTACTGGTTGTATCTATTGTTAATAGTTTTGTAAGACTGAAATTATCTGTGAGGATGACAAACTCTTTACCTAATAAATATTTTAGAAATTTCTTTTAGCTGATGACTAACGCTAATGCTTCTTTCTCAAATGTACTATATTTCTTTTGTGTGGATGTCAGTTTTTACCGTAATCACAGAACCGGTAACTAAAATTCTTACTATTTAAGAGCCCACAAAGCAGCTACTGTGCGACTACTAACATTACTTCTCAAATGTAGTTCAACCAGCAATATGTAGTAATTTCTTATGTTTGCTCTGCCAATCCCCTTTTGTGCAATATATGCACTTGGGATAAATAATCAGGGAAAGTCATTACTTTTAGGTTTGAGGTCGAGATAGTGTTTTCGGTATCCCACTTCATGGAGATTGTATTGTTACATAATTTGTTCTTTAATGTATTGAAAATCAGGTCTTTTATTTTCCAGGATTGTTTCTAAAATTCTCAGTAGTTAAAAGCCAATTTTTTTTTGAAAAATCAAAGCTTAATCTTCCAGTTGAGCTCTATGGATTTGCATTTGTAACTGAAAGTTTGTTACCCATGCAGCAATTTCGTAATGCTCACAATAATTTCTAATGATATCACTATACTTCTTGTATTTATTTTCTTCTGACTTGAATTTTTCTTTCCCAATTGCTGCTTCTCTTCTGTATTAATTTTCAATCTTTTTAGTTCTCATTTGTTTTTCTGCCTTCTCCTTTTTTGACTTGTATTTTTGCAGCTATTTTCTCCCATTCTGTCTAGGGTTATATTTTTTCTTTCTTTTTCAGCTGCTGTTTTTTAACTCCATCTTTTGTTGAAGCTGCTTGTCTCTCAATTCTGCATCTTTGTTTCAGTAGAACCTTGTGCTTTTTTTATAATTGTCTTTGTTCATCTTCTTCATCCATTTTCATCTTCTCATGTTCTTTTTCTTCAGCTAGCTTCATCTTCTCACATTCTCTTTTTTCAGATAACTTCATCTTCTCATGTCCTTTTTCTTCATCTAAAATATCCTTTTGTTTTTGATTCACGTATTTGCTGAGTTCTTTCCCTTGATAGCCTAATTCTTTTTGAATGGACACCCACTGAGCTACATTAGGCATTGTAGAAATGAGTACAGTATAACTTTCAGTAGAAAAACTTTACAAAATATGTACTCTTTTCACTTCCTGTTAGTATATAACACTTAATATTAAAACGATGCAATGGTTTAATAGTCAACTCCCACACAATTAAAAGCTCAATGGGAGATAAATAAATTATGCCAAGTTGTTATCTACTAACTTGAGAAACTATATATTTACTCTTATTCTAAGTTCTTTTACTGAAAATTAACTCACATTGATAATAACCCACACTGGTTGAATCCTGGACAAACTCCAATAGTGTAATGTCACCGGGGCTCTATTCTTGACCAGCTGTAATCTCACTTCTCAATTCCAACTTGTTAAATGAACAGCAATCACACTAGATGACAGTACTGAATATAGTTCAAATGTTAATTACTGTTCCAACTGTCATGTCGGCTAGTCAATGTCCCTGGTCATCACTCATTCCTCTTGCTGATATATTATCACTGCCACCACTTCAGATCTACAACTCGAAACTCAGCTAATTACCTTGTAATTCAGAATTTCCATTCATACTGATTTCTTATCTCTGGGCACAGCACAACAAGCATTCTCGGCCACTCTGTTGTTCAACACAGGCTCACTTTTGGCTCAGCCATTTTCATTGCATACCAGATGATTGACCCAGCTGTCACTGTTCACGGCAGACACTCTTCTCAATTGTCCCAACCTTTCTCTCTCACTGTCAAACACCATCTGATGATTCCTACTTCCTCGCCTCCAATCCTTTCTTCCCATCCACGAGTTTCTCCTTCCAATCACTCTTTTTTCTTGAGAAATCACAAGCTTACTTTGTACACACTTTCCTGTTAGTTCTATTTCTAACAATTGAGCTGTGGAACTAAATGTGTTTTTGTGTGTGTGTGTGTGTGTAGCTCCCAGGTCATGGATATTAGCAGGGCTGTTTTTTTTTCTTTCTTTTTCTTTCTTAAATAGTAACATAGTTGGGCATATTTTTAAATTTCTTATTTGTTTAACGGCTGTATCTTAAATCATTCAAATATCCAAACTGTCTGATCAAAGCTGAGATTTAAAAAAAATTATTTGAAAGGTGATTTGTATCATATACCTAATATCTACTTTTTGAGCATGTCAAGTCCTTGAGGTTCATTGCTGCAGATGTCACCAGCCTCCATTCATCTCTGTGATTGGCTTTTTGTGTCCAGCTAGTGACACCAAGTGTTTGTAGGTCTGTCTGTATATTTTCTTTCTTCAGTATACCTACATAATGTCTTGGGCATTAGTATCATGACCATAAGATCCTAAATATTTAACTTCAGCAGAAACTGAATAAAAACTGCTGGTTCGGGTGATGGACCATGGAAAGGACCTGCCACCATTGACTTTAAACAACACATCTGCAGTAAGTATATTTATATCACTACAGTAAAACCTCTTGAACATGAACTCACCCAAGAACACTCGGTTGATATGAATGTACATTTGATCCCAGTGTGGATGTATTTTTTATTGGTCCCTGGTTAGTGCACCTTTTTTTTAAACACAAGCTATTGATTTTTATGGGGAATTTTGTGTTTCCTAGGTTTGGCTCTAGTTCCTTTTTCAGTAGTTAACTGAAGCAGCTGATAAATGCACTAATCGTACCAACTTTGTCCTATCAGTGCCAGACGTGGACAGTCTTAGAAAAATTACAACATGTGAGACGAGATGTATATGAAATGCGGCTGATGAAAAACAAGTAGAGACAGAGTCACTAATGAAAAACTAAGGACAGTGGTAGGCACAGCACTAGTAAATGATTTCATAGAACATAAGAGAATCAAATAGTTTGGTCATCTGGTATAAAATGGAACAAAATCAGTCAGAAGCATGCCATACTACATGAGCACACCAGGCTACAAGCCAAGAGGCTGACCAAGAAATAGATGTGGGGAAGGAGTAAAAGAAATACCGCAAAAACACACATGAAATTAAAACAAGCTAGGTAACTAGCAGAAGACAGGCAACTAAACTCCTCTTTGCAGCATAAGCAGTAGGACAAAAGAAGAAAAATAAGACTGAAATATTTTATGAGTCAAGTATTATTAGCACTCTGGCTGTAGATGTCAGTTTTGTGTGTGTGCAAAAGGTATACATTATTTTTCAACATATTCTTCAGTACACATTATCCATCTGCCAGCAAGCTTTCTCCGTCTTCTTCACGTTCACCAGCTGTAAACTGCGGCAGAAAATTCTGGTTGTTGTCCACCTCTGGACTTGAGAGTTTTGTTCCAGAACCTGAGTGTTGCGTGCACACATATTTGACAGATCTGGCTTTTTTGTATGAGACTGTTGGTCCCTTACCTCTGAGGTAGATGCACTTTGACTTAGAAGGAAACCCTCAATTAGCGAACTCTTACAACAAGCTTGTTGGGGAGGCAGTGGGTCTGTTCTTCTTTCCCCACAATGGAACCCCTGCATCTACAGAGGAAAGCAAGCTTTCATATACTCTGGGTAATAGTGGATTATTTTAGGATAAATTGTGAACAGTGACTACTCTGTTGCCTTTTCTTGATGAATCTTTATCTTCAAAGGGCTGTTTTCAGGGGATGAAACAGGTCCAAGTCCAGTGGGTCAAGATTAGGACTACAGGAAGGGTGAAGTTTTTAACAAGTGTCAACTACATGGACGGACGGGCAATGTCCTGCAAGTTCATAAACTGTTAGTTAACAGTGTTCCTCTCTCGTAAACAAATTTAGACTTCGACTCGCCAGTAAGCATCTTAATGAAAGGAGCACTGTTGATGGTTGAACATTTTTTATGATAGTATTCCGATAGGCCTAACTCTGAATTTTGAGGTCGACTTAACACAATTTACAAAAACTTGAGTGTATTGACTTATCTTCATATCTTGTGACATGCACACTGCAGAATGTACATTGACATATAATGATACACAAAGGTGACATATAATGATACGCAAAGGTGAATCCTTCAAAAAGAAATACATCTTTTAACCCACTGTTACACTACATCTCACTACGGAAATCTTAGATTAGTCTTGTGGTCTTTTGTTAACATACAGTAGGATTGTCCATCTTGATTTTGACCATTACAGGAAATTAAGAAAAATGTCTGTTTTGCATGTGATTATCAGTGATTTAGATAAGTAAAAAGCTAATAAGTGATTAAGATAAGTAAATTATTTTAGTAAATTAAGTAATTACTCTTTGCTAATGCAAGAATGAATATTATTTGTCAGGTGCTGAGAACTCAATGAGACTTGAATAACACATTAACCCTGTAGCACTCGATAGCTGCAGAACTGACTCTTTGTTTGCTACAGTTTGGCGTAAAAATTGCTTTATTGATCTGCCATAGTGGTGTGTTTATGAGACACCTTCTTAACGCTGTTGGCTGTGCTTGTGTCTGCATAGTGTTTGAGAGGTCAGGATCTGAATATATTTACTAAAAATAGCATTTAGATAGGGTTTCTTGCAACCAAATAGCTTTTATGAAGTCATTTTGACATCAGATTCTTCCATAGCCTCATGGTGGAGGTCACATAGTTGTGTCAAAAGTAAGTGTTTCCCAAACTTTTCTTGGTCGCAGCGCCTTTTTTCAATGAAAATGTTTCCACGGCGTCCTAACCTAAGTAAGAGTATGACTGTTCGTGTCTTGATTAAATTAATTATGAAGCTTTTACAATATTTCGTGGCGCCCTAACCTAAGTAAAAGTATGACTTTTCATGTCTTGATTAAATTAATTATGAAGCTCTTACAATATTTCGTGGCGCCCTAACCTAAGTAAAAGTATGACTTTTCATGTCTTGATTAAATTAATTATGAAGCTTTTACAATATTTTGTGGCGCCCTTGTGAAGAGATCCTGGCTCCCCAGGGCGCCACAGCGCACAGTTTAGGAATCACTGTCATAAGTCATCGGATACATATTTGTTTTTAAGGCCCTGAGAAATGTATTCCATTTAATGCTTCATTCTGTTTCATTTATTTATGACTCCCTTTATAATCTTTAAATTTTAAGAAAAATATACTTGAGGTTTGAACAAATGATCAACATCTGGGTACACAGGTAGTAACCCATACTTTGGGTAGATTTTAAAATCCAAATTGTGCACGGGCAGCTCCGTTAGGCTACTCTTTTCGATTTCCAACTGCCAAAGGATTTTTTACATGCTCAACAATGCACATGGGCGTCTGATCTCACTACCCAGATACCAGGGGGAATTACTAGAAGTCCAAGTCCACGTGAAAAATCTCAGCCCTTACTCTGAATTGAACCCAGAACCTCTAGCACTTGAGGTGGACACGATGCCTTGAGACCACGCAGCCCCTAAATATACATGAATAAATGTTCAACAAATTTGTTAGCGACCTGTGTACAACGGTTTTTTCATGAAATTTTTTTTTCCGAATTCTTATTAAATTCACATCCTATTTAGCATTTCTGGGATGAAAGGATTAATACTATTTCTCTGCTGTTGAGACTGAGCTCATTGATACTTAACTCACTCCGAAATAATACAAATACTGTTTCTCTGTGTTGCTGAAGCAAGAGTCCTGTTGAGACTGCCAAATAACACTTAAATACTGTTTCTCTATGTTGTTGAAACAGTCCTGTTGAGACTGCCAAATAACACTTAAATACTGTTTCTCTATGTTGTTGAAACAGTCCAGTTGAGATTGCCAAATAACACTTAAATACTGTTTCTCTATGTTGCTGAAACAGTCCTGTTGAGACTGCCAAATGACACTTAAATACTGTTTCTCTGTGTTGCTGAAAAAGATTCTTTTTAAGACTGCCAAATGGCGCATTAATATTGTGTCTCTGTATTTTGCTGAAACCAAGAGCCCCATTGAGTCTCCTAAATGACACATTAATACTGTCTGTATTTTTCTGAAACTGAGAACCCCAATGAGACTCCCAAATAACACATTAATACTGTTTCTCTATTTGTACTACTAATTAACTTTGCTGTGTTGTTGCCAGTCTTGCTTGGTCACCCTGATTCCTGTGCTGGTGTCGATGACCTCACATTCTGAAATTCCATGCTACGATGATGAAACAGACAAACCAGCATGGTGGCCTTCAGACATCGAATGGAGGAATCCACAGTTTTATCTGGAGGATGCAGACAGAAGAGTAAATATTGCACATTTGTGTGTGCTTGTGCATTTGTTAAAAATGATACTTTTTCCTTTGTTTATCTTTATCTTTTGTATTTTTCATCATTGTGTTGGGATGAGATTTTTGGGCAGTGCTTTTGTGTGGGCTGTGTACTTCTTCTTCACATTCACTGACTGAAAGTTGTGTACTTTGTTCACCTCTTGACTTTAGTCTATTTCCAATAGTTGAGTTTTGTGTGCACATCCATTTTATACAAGGTCCGACTATTAAGTAATGAGACTAATTCCATAAAACTCAACCCACTGATGTTTTTGGTCATTAAACAACGAATGTGGTACAAACTGGCAAGCAAAATTTTTCTTGCCAGAATCTTGCACTAAAATTTTATGAATGGTCTCTCTATTACCACCAGATTCATCTGCCATCATAACAGTAAAACAATGATCTTTTGGTATTTGTTCTCTGACTTTTGCAATGAGTTCATCATTACGAACAGAAATTTGGCATCCAGGTCTAGGTGCATTAGTAATCATTTTTACACCACTTTTGAATCGTGAATACAACCTGAAAATGTGTGCATGAGATAAACAATTATCCCTATAAACTTGTTGAATCAATTGAACTGTTTCAATGGCACTTTTTTGGGTTTAAAAAGAATTTAATGTTAGCTTTTTGCTCTGTGCTGATTACGTAACAATGCATCTCTGACTAGGTCAGCAAAATGGTGGCTTGTTTGTTGTCTGCTTATCGAGCGGTGATGAAAAGTTGTCAGATCGTAGATGAATGTTGTCTCTTTAGTTTCCATGCTTTGCTTTATATATAGCATTTTTATCTTGGCCATAATAAAATCAGTCTCATTTCCTAATCGTCGGACTGTGTAGATCTAGCTTATTTATCCCGAGGCTGTTGGTTCCTTGTCACTAAGGCAGATGCACTCCGATTTAGAAAGAACCCCTTAATTAGTTGACTCTTGCAATATGCTTGTTGTGTAGGTGGTGGGACTACTCTAGTTTTCCTCTCAGTGGAGCCCTGGAACTCACATGAGGAGGATTATGTACAATGGGGTGTGTGTGTGCTATCTTTTCTCAATCCTCCTGAGGTTTTACCATGCATCATTTCTCAAGGCTTCAGGACAGAGCTTTCTAAATGTTTATGTTGGAGGCACACTGTTTAGATCAGTGGTACCAACCTTTTTGATGTGGTGCCCCCCTTGAGTATATTGCAAGATGTTTTAGTGTATATCCTATCTAGATGTTGACTGACCATAGGGTCGCTATGGTTAGTGGTAATTCTGTTCTATTGCTGTACATTAAATCTGCTTCAGGTTTGGTTTCATCTCTTTTTATTTTTTAAATTTAAACTGGTGACAAAATGCAGGGTTGTGTGTGACTGTAACACATGCTGATTGCTAGAACAGGTGCCACTTCCACAGATATGCTGTAGCACTCTCTGTTGGATTACTAGAATAGACCCACTGCCACAGATATGCTGTAGCACTCTCTGTTGGGTTGCTAGAATAGACCCACTGCCACAGATGTGCTGTAGCACTCTCTGTTGGATTACTAGAATAGACTCACTGCCACAGATTTGCTGTAGCACTCTCTGTTGGGTTGCTAGAATAGATCCACTGCCACAGATATGCTGTAGCACTCACTGTTAGGTTACTAGAATAGACCCACTGCCACAGATATGCTGTAGCACTCTCTGTTGGATTACTAGAATAGACTCACTGCCACAGATTTGCTGTAGCACTCTCTGTTGGGTTACTAGAATAGACCCACTGCCACAGATTTGCTGTAGCACTCTCAGCAGAGTTACTAAAATAGACCCACTGCCACAGATGTGCTGTAGCACTCTCTGTTGGGTTACTAGAATAGACCCACTGCCACAGATGTGCTGTAGCACTCTCTGTTGGGTTACTAGAATAGACCCACTGCCACAGATGTGCTGTAGCACTCTCTTTTTGGTTACTAGAATAGACCCACTGCCACATATGTGCTGTAGCACTCTCTGTTTAGTTACTAGAATAGACCCACTGCCACAGATTTGCTGTAGCACTCTCAGCAGAGTTACTAAAATAGACCCACTGCCACAGATGCGCTGTAGCACTCTCTGTTGGGCTACTAGAATAGACCCACTGCCACAGATGTGCTGTAGCACTCTCTGTTGGGTTACTAGAATAGACCCACTGCCAGAGATATGCTGTAGCACTCTCTGTTGGGTTACTAGAATAGACCCACTGCCAGAGATATGCTTTAGCACTCTCTGTTGGGCTACTAAAATAGACCCACTGCCACAGATGTGCTGTAGCACTTTCTGTTGGGCCACACTTCTGAAATATCCAGATAACTTTATCGTGGCTCAGTCTTTATCTCCAGTGTTGAGTTGAGTTTCTATATCTCCAGTGTTGAGTTGAGTTTCTATATCTCCAGTGTTGAGTTGAGTTTCTATATCTTTAGTGTTGAGTTGAGTTTCTATATCTCCAGTGTTGAGTTGAGTTTCTATATCTCCAGTGTTGAGTTGAGTTTCTATATCTCCAGTGTTGAGTTGAGTTTCTATATCTCCAGTGTTGTTGAGTTGAGTTTCTATATCTCCAGTGTTGAGTTGAGTTTCTATATCTCCAGTGTTGAGTTGGTTTCTAAATCTCCAGTGTTGAGTTGAGTTTCTATATCTCCAGTGTTGAGTTGAGTTTCTATATCTCCAGTGTTGAGTTGAGTTGAGAACTTATTTCTCAGCACTCTGGACATTTCCATAAGTGCTCAGACCCCATCTTCAGCAGCCAGCAAAGTTTCATTACCAGCGTTGGAAGTAGCTTTTGATTAAGTGTGACTTTACCGTAGTGACTCCTGATGTTGTGTCCTCAGATGGCAGTTGCTCTCATATCTTTTGTATTTCTTGTAATATTGTCGAGAAGCAGCTTGCCAAAGGGTTTTAATTGTTGGGCTGGCATGACATAGACCCAGGTTCAAATCTTCAGTAAGGTTATTGTTTTTTTTCTCTGTCGAAGGCAACATAAAATCCTAGCGTGCATAGTCCACAACGACTGCACTAGATATGTAGAGCTAAATCCACCAGGTTCAAAGCTTCTGCTGTCTACTCCACAAAAAGTAAATATAGACAGTTGTGGCAGTTTTATTGCGGCTATATAAGGATTAAAGGTGTAGCAAAATTATCCCTTGATATCTGATAATTCTTCTTCTGAAAAGTCCATGCCGTATGGTGTTAGTAGTCATGTCTATTCAGAGCCTTCTGTCTCATGTACTATCATTCAACTCTGACACAGATGATTCATGACCGGCCCCAGGTGACGGGCTGTGCTGCTGACGTCACCAGGTCGGGCTAACGATGCGTTTAAGCAGCGGTTCTCAAACAAGAAATAAACTATTTTTGACAGAAGCGAGGGAAGACAACTTAAATTTTAACTGTCAAGTTTCTACATGCCTTCTTTAATAATTTCAAACTTTTTAGCCAACTTTTCTTGATTATTGGCATATGCTCAAGGCACCCAATTTGAGAACCGCTGCGTTAACTCATCGTTAGCCCGACCCGATGACGTCAGCAGCACGGCCCGTCAGCTACAGCCGGTCGTGGATGATCCTCCATGCTCTGATGTCAGACTGTCCAGCATCTGTAATCTTGGCCTCCCTCTGCCTCTTCTCCCCTCCATTTTTCTCCTTCTCATCATATATGCTTATATTAACCAAAGTAATATCAGAAAGATGAGTGATTGCAGTCGAGCTGATATCAAGAAGTAAATTACAAGACTTCTTTTTCCTTCCCCTTATTAAACATTCGGTTGATTTTGAGCATGTCTTTTCCTTTCCCCTTCATTGAGCTTCCTTGTCATAGTTTGTGTTGTGTTAATTTACTTCCTGATGTTGGCCTACTTCATTATGTTTTGTTTTTTTCAGCATGTTGTTTCCAGGATATGTTCTTTAGAAGTCTCAATCTTTTTCAGTCAGTTTAGAGATTCTCTGTGTGGGTTCCAGGACCCCACTGTGGAGAAAGCAAGAATAGCCCCGCTAACCCCCCCCCCCCCCCAATAAGCATGTTGTAAGATATTTGACTAAATCGGAGCATTCTTTCAAGTTGGAGTCCATCTGCCTGAGAAGCAAGGAACCAACAATCTGCATACAGGTAAATAAGATCTGTAAAATGGATGTGCACGTAACACTCAGGTTCTGGGACAAGACAAATGTCCAGAGGTGAATGAACAACCAGAACTTTCTGCTGGAGTTTACAGCTGGTGATCACGAAGAAGAAGATGAAGAATTTAAAGATTTGCTTGAATTAAACCATACTTATAAACATAAGATGTACTTTTGAAATGCTCTATATGTTGTTTACCTTTATCTCTCTACTCCTCAGAACGATTGCCTGAAAGTCCTCCGCAAGCTTGTGTACAGTTGTTACTCGTATCATGGTGTGGAAGACTTGTGCAGACTTGAAGAGACACCTGTATCTGATAGTGAGATAGAGGTAGTTTAATTAGCCTGTGTTTAATTCTAGAAATGGGGAGTTTATACAGCCACTTTGGCATTGAAGGATGAAGACAGCATGGTCCCTGTGTGGCTTCTGTATCCCATGGAAGGAAGGGGTATGTGTTGAGAATAATAGACCGGTTGCACCTGATGACAAGCATGTTAATAGAGGCCATGAATTAAAGGTTTGCTGAAAATGGAGGCGTTAAACCAAAAGATGCAGATCTCACAGCCTAGTTGTATCCACACCATAGTGAATCAACCACCCAGTTAAGGGCAGACATAGAAGGAGAAGAAGGATGAGTATGGATCATTTCTGCTGGATCAATCACTAGCCTGCTGGATTAAATTGGGAATCGTTCACAGTGGCAGTGAGTTTGAATAGCTGTTCTGTTGTTGGTGTATTATTTTCTTGTGTCTTTTCTTCCAGTCACTTTGTCAGTGTTTGGATTTTCTAATATGTTGCGTTTCTTTAAGACAGTTTTTCATATCTTTGTTCTGTCTTTCCCGTGCTCTAGCTGTATTCACTATATTTCTTCAGCATGACTCTTTGTGGCACTTGATACAGGGGCAGTCTCATCACATGACCAAATGATCTATTCTATTGCATTTATATTAATTGTGTGTCTGATTTCAGTCCTAGTCTATTTTTCTTTTAATTTCTTCATTTTAATTTAACATCTTTTTGTGACTCCGGCAGCTCTTTTATGACATGTCATGTCTGTTAAGCTGTTCCACTCATTAGTTGTAATAAGGGTTCATGTTGGACGCTTCCAGCTTTCAGGTATGAACTTGAAAAAGGAAAGAAAGCTTTCTTAAAATGTCATCCTCATGTAGTGGGGCTTTTCAGAATTCAATCTGCTGCATTTTCCTCCGCCTCATTTATTTTCATGCCCAAGTGTCTGCCAGTATCCTGTGTCCGCCTTCATGCTGGTCGCCCCCTGCCTATTTTGCCAGGAACTGTGCCTTCTGTTACTGTTCTTTCATAGTCGCTGCAACATTTATTGTGAGCAAAATTGTCGTTTTTCAACATATGATGCTGTCTGTGAGCCAGTTTTCTCGGATATCAACATTTCTGGCATGTTAATGTTTTCTACTTGATTTATGGCATTCTAACAGATTTTCAAAACCCTTTTTTTTTCTTTAGTAGTGTCAACATTCATTGTCCTGTAAATACTCGTATATCATGTTGTTTTGCCAGAATTAACTCTGCCAGGATGGCATTTTTTTTTTTCTGAGGTTTGGACAGCATTAATTTTGAGCTGAATTGTTTCATTGCAACATGACAAAGCTAAAATCTTCCTGAAAATTATATTCTGCATTTATTTCATTTTGATTTCCAGTGAAAGTATATTTTACCTATATTTTTAAAATATTTTCTGATATAAAAATATACAGATGGGTCTGTAGTGAGAGGTACATGGAGTGGGTGGGGTTTAATTGCAAAGGTGAATAGGCACTGTTTGAAAACAGTGAGCCTCATGTACATAGTCACTACATCCAGTATGAGAATGGAGGTGGAGGCAGTAGCAGCAGCTTTCTAGTGGGCTAAGAGCAGCACAGTCCGGCATGTTGTAATTGTAATAAACTCCCAGAACAATGCTTCAGAAAATTGAAACAGATGTCATGCACTTAGAGTGGCTTGCATCACTTGATAAGATCCAGATCAGCCAGAAGCTATCATGGATCTTCTGTCCAGGACGTTCAGATTTGTAAGGTAATGAGCAGGCATATAGATTAGCTACTGCCGCTCCTCTGTGCGGTGAACTACTTTATGATAAACGGATGTGGTGAGGGCTCTGTGGGATCAGATGGGCAGTGCAGTAGAACAGATAGGGAATCCATACACTGAAAGACTTATTCAACAAGGGGGTGAGTAGAGCTTCCGGAAGGGATTCAACACATTGACAGACGGACTTTTATTCAGGTTGCAACTGGTACTGTTAGCGTGACTACTCTTCATTGGCTACTGAAGAAGGGGACGGAGCATGTGTGGGAATGTCCCGAGTGCAGTGATGTCAGTTCTTGGTTCATTCATTCATTATATTTTCTCAGTAAATCGTTTCCTCGCCTCCTGATTCACCTGAAATGTGTTTAGTTCTCTCCCAAAATCAACATTAGTTGTACAACTGAAATGCTCCGATTCCGCAGAGGTGCTGTTTAATGAATTGTTGTAGTTTACTAGTAACCCTTGTAGTAGTTCTGCATGTTTGCATTTCTTTCAGTCAGTGGAGAATATGGAAATCATTCAGCTGGCAGAAGACAGTGAAGCTTTGGAAGATTCCTCAGCAGGTTGTAAAATTATTGTTTTGATGTTTAATGTCTCAGTACATCATTAACATTACATATGAATTCATTACAAAAAATATCTGGCCTAATACACTAACTGCCCTAGAGATATTAACACCCCTTCCCCTTAATGAAGTCATCTTCCTGGGACTGCACAACAAACATCCAGCAATCCTACTTTTGTTGGATAGCGTTTTTGGAATATGGATGTCAGATTATGTGGTACTGACCCCTGATGGTCAAACTGTGTTAATGAGGTTGTGTCATCGGTTGTTACCATGCATTTCTTGAATGCCTAAATGGACCTTTGCCTTCCTTTTGTCTTCTTGTATTTTATATTGGGTCTTTTCAGTAGCATTTTCAGTTTTGGGAGCAGCCAAGAACCATATCATTAAAATATGGTGCTCTCTCTTCTGTCTCTCTCTCTGCTTCCTTCCCTCTCTGGGATATGAAGAATAATTCAGGCTGGTATTCCGTCCTCTTACCAACTTAAAGACAGATGTTATCAAAAACCTGTAAGGGAGAGCCTGTTTAATTCTCTTCTAAATTACTGATTGTGGCATATAATTTACTTGATTTCCTTAAGTATAGGACATAATTATTTTTTAAAAATATCACGTCTTAAAACAGTGAACTGTGTCTTATACAATGGCATTAGATTTTTACCGCATAATTTTATAATTTGTTAGAAAATATGCTACACCAGGCATCATTTGGGAATGCAGGTTCAGGAGTGACATAAAATGGAAAAAAAAATCTAAAATTAAAACTGGCAGTAATAGTTTTTTGTGCTTGTCATCGTGCTCATTCTTTTGCACTTGTCACCTCACTCATTGGTTTGCACTTGTCACCTCCCTCATTGGTTTGCACTTGTCACCTCCTTCATTAGTTTGCACTTGTCACCACCCTCATTTGTTTGCACGTGTCACCTCCCTCATTGGTTTGCACTTGTCACCTCACTCATTGGTTTGCACTTGTCACCACCCTCATTGGTTTGCATGTGTCACCTCCCTCATTGGTTTGCACTTGTCACCTCCCTCATTGGTTTGCACTTGTCACCTCCTTCATTGGTTTGCACTTGTCACCACCCTCATTTGTTTACACGTGTCACCTCCCTCATTGGTTTGCACTTGTCACCTCACTCATTGGTTTGCACTTGTCACCACCCTCATTGGTTTGCATGTGTCACCTCCCTCATTGGTTTGCACTTGTCACCTCCCTCATTGGTTTGCACTTGTCACCTCCTTCATTGGTTTGCACTTGTCACCACCCTCATTTGTTTGCACGTGTCACCTCCCTCATTGGTTTGCACTTGTCACCTCACTCATTGGTTTGCACCTGTCACCACCCTCATTGGTTTGCATGTGTCACCTCCCTCATTGGTTTGCACTTGTCACCTCCCTCATTGGTTTGCACTTGTCACCTCGCTCGTTGGTTTGCACTTGTCACCTCGCTCGTTGGTTTGCACTTGTTACATTGAGTTACCGTTCGCCCATAAATGTCTCAGAAAAGATTTTCCTACAATACTGAATTCAAGATAACAGTGATTCAATTTGCAAAAATGAAAGTCAATGCTGCTGAACGTAAATTTGGTCCTCGTCCAGTTGAGAAAACAATCTGAGACTGGCTACGGGAAAAAGAAAGCTTGCTGAAGATGCCAAAGGAGAAGAAAGCCATGAGTGACAAGTTGTCAGAATGGTATGATTTGGGAAAAAAATTAAAGATAATGGTTTGAAGAGCAAAGAGTAGTTTGAATTCCTGTGTCCAATAAGATGGTTCAGCATGAGGCAAGAAGAATTGCTGGTAAAAAAAATTAAGTTACTGATTTCAAAGGAGGGCCAAGTTGGTGCTTTAGGCTCAGAAAATGAAATAGACTAAGCATGCATACATACACCTGACTTGCCCAAAAGATGTCTGCAGGCTATCAGCTGCAGGTCTTTGAGTTTCATTGCCTTGTCATTCAGTGTCGAAAGATGCATCAGTTTGAGTTGGGACTGATTGCAGATATGAACAATGTCCCCTTTAAATTTGATGTATCACATAACAGAACTGTTGATAAGGGGGAAAGGGGGGAGCTAAAGACTAACTGTGAAGACGTGTGAACATGAAAAGCGCCGTAATGAATACAATTGGAGTTCAATAACTTTATGCAATTATTTTTGTCTCCATATTTCCGGCCCTAAAATACTTAGTGAAATACAATCATTCCTGTTATTTGGGGAACTGGGGTAGTTACTTGTATCCTGTGCATGCATCATCTAAATAATGTTTATAGTTTATTGTTAATTATGAAAGTTGTTTTTATGTTTCTGCTTCTTCTTCTTCTTCTTCTGCTTTTATTGTTTTCATATTTCTGTTTTCAATGTCTGTCTTTAATCCATGAAGAAACATCCCAAGTTACAACAGATAATTGTTTTGCTTGTTTCAGAAAGCGAGGGACCTGTGTATGTTTGCTGTTTCTGTCTGAACCAGTTCAGCAGCCACCACCAGGTGAATGCACATCAGAATATTTGTTCTAAAAGATTCAATGAAGTTGTCTCAGTGAGTCCAACTGCCATGCTCCCTGATGACACTCAGATGGATTCTGTTATGGAACCTGTATCCGCAAGACATTGTTTTGAGGATTCTCCGCTGGGGGCATCAGATTATCCGGCATCATCCCCTGATAGTGAGTCAAGCTATATTAATGACGTTGCATCATCAGAGTCATCACTCGCCACCAGTCACATGCCAAAAGTATTCACAGATGTTGGTAGAACTTCTTCAGCTCACAGTTCTTCAGCCAGTTCTCGGCTTTCCCAAGTCCCACATAACTCAGCATTATCAACATCAAACTCTTCATCACTGAAACGACCTGGGCCAGTTGCCTCAGCTCCGTTCTTGCCCACTCTAAAAACTCGAAGTCAGAAGAGACTAGATCAAATCAAGGAGAGGCACAAGTCACGTCGTTTGATGATAGAAGAATGTCAACAGATGAGAGGAGTGCCTCAGAATGGAGCTTGGTGGACTGGGATCAAGAGGAGAAAGTGCAGTATTGCTTATCACAGTCCAAACAGGCCCTTGTCTCAGGATGCCTTTGTGTCTGCTCTGGGCTTGGCCAGGGCAACTGATGTTGCAGCCATGGCTGAGAAGAATTCTAGAAATGAGCAAGAAGTAGATCTTGACTGTGAGATTATTTCAGTTGAAGGCCCACTTAGTGCGGTTCCACCTCCTCCTCCACCACCACCACCACCGGAGGCAGCTGTAGAGAAAACATCAGCTTCTCCTCGTTCAACAAGATCTTTGATATCCCAGCTGGGTCGAGATAACGAGGTCACTACTCGCAGACGACTGAGCTTTTGTTTTGTTGAAGATGAATGGGCAGACAGGGAGGCATTGAATGAGGGTCGGGATCCTCTTCAGATTTCCCTCTTAACATTAGATCTTTCTTCTCCTTTAGGCCTGAGAGTGAAGAAATATGTTCGAGGGGAAGGGCATTTAAATATAATTAAAGATGTGGAGAGTTACTGCAGAACAGAAATGGATGAAGATGGCTACAGTAAACTGAGATTCCGTGGTTGTGATTTCCGTATCACGTACAGAAAAAAGAAACGAGCTTCCAATTATGTCCACACTTATAAATTTAACAAAAGTGATCGCCTAGAATTTAAAACCCTTTTAAAAACTGGTTTAAGTATGCATAGCCGACACATACAGCAGGCCCTCCCTCTGTGTAAAGTTGTGTTGAATCGACTGAGTAAATCACAAATAAAATTGTGGACAGAAGAAAAGAAGATAACAATATCGGAGCAGATTGTTTATGATGATGATATTTGCATTACTCACATTGACATACCAGAGTCCAAGATCACTCAGGGATTTACTTCAGATGCTCAGTCTCCCTCTCAGCATCAGCTACACAGGAAGACTCAGTACCTGGCCCAGTCGTCACCGGTGTCGGTTGGGCGCCAGTGTTCGACCCCAGAAAGTAGGTTGTCACTTTCATCCCGTGTGTCAGCATCGCCTCCGCATGTTCCAAACATATTCAGAAACAGGACGTCATTCACGTCATCTCCTCCTCACCCCACCAGTGTCCCTAGACCAAGCAGCCTCAGCTCTGGTTGGAGACCCCAGCATGCAACACAGAAAACCAATAGGAGCATAGGAGACATGGAATGTTCCCAGTTTAATTCTCTATCTCCTTCTGTTAACAACTCTGGCCGCCAAAATATACTTGATAAAACTGGTAACAGTTTTAAAAAAACTGAGGCGAATTTGAGTCATCTAACTGGCCATAAAAGTTTGTCTCCGTCTCCTTATGCTGTTCCTGGAACTTCAGCGAGTGAATCCAGAAATAGCGGCGAAATGCAAGGCACTAACAGAAGAAAGCAACAGTTGACCCAGTTACGAAAGGATGATGGTGACGGTGGTGCATCAAACAGTGCAACGTCTACCGACAGGAATTTCGTACCATATGTAAACCACAACAGCTCTCTTCCCTTGCGAAACAGAGGTCTCACAGAGAATAACCATAGTAACCCTATGCAAAAACATAAGGAACACCATTCTTCAGGCATTCCTTTGCAACCTTCCACTCGCAAGCTGTCAAATTTCGACTACTTCAGTATTCGGGATGGCAAAATCCAGCCCTCATACCCTCACAACAGCCATCCTTTGGTCAGTCAACATCGGCCGTCTGCACCACTGGCCCCGGCTTTGAACCCACACAATCGCCAAAATACCAGCTTTCACAGACAGCCCTATCCACATCCAAGACCTCATCAACATTCTCAACCTCCATCACCGTTATCACACTCACAGCATCCTCATCCTCGATTTAAGAGTACATTACAGGGAGCACCTGGCCAGGCCAGACCTTGTCCGGTACACAGTAATAACTTCCCTCAGCATCGCTTGCCAGCTGGCCATAAGAGACCAGAAGGGCTTGCATTTTCTCGAAATCAGAACAGCGGGGCCAATAACATAAGACCTCCGCATCAGAAAACTGTCAGTGAAAAAGCTTTGCCTGCACAGCATCTCCACAAGAAAAACTATCTAGAAGATGATGATGTGATGGAGGTCATATGTATTGATGACGATTAACTTTAGACTTGAATTGATGTGTGGTGAAATGTTGATTCTGTAATTAGTTCAGGTGATTGTTGTGTCATGATATTGTGTGTGTGTGTAAGATAGAGAGAGAGTGTTTTAAGGTGACTTTAGTGAGAGAGAGAGAATGTGTATGAGTGAGAGCACTTTGGTGACGTATGTGTGAGAGATAGAGAACTTATGTGTGTAGGGGGAAAGCCATGGTTTGAGGTGACTAATGAGAAGTTGTTGGAATGTATGAATTGTCAATTTTGGCTGTGTTACTTTGAAGTGTCATCTTTTCCAATGCCATTTCCTTCATCACCACCTTTTTCCTTTAGGTTTCTATTTTATTTTGCCTGTCTGCAACATTGGATGTAAAAGTCAACAACAACAACACATAAGTAAAGAACCCTTTTCCACGCACTTGGTGGATGATATGGTCAGCATCACGCCGGTGGCCTTTACTTCCCAGGACTGCACCTGGTACCCATTCAAGGTTGGGTTGACCTGGAAGCCAAGGTCATTTTTGAAGAAAGAATGATTCTGACAGGGCCCGAAACCCCACGACCTTGTGATCCGCAGGTGAGCGTCCAGCCGATACACAACGGCAACTCCAAATATTGGATGTGCTGTATCTTAAATAGGGTCACTTTGGTCTAGTTAATGTTGGGGGGGGGGGGGCAACCCAGCAAGCGTGTCATAAGAGGTAACTAATTGAGGTTTTGCTGAAATGAGATGTCTAGCAATAAGCCACAATACAATGTGGTGCACAAGAACACTTCCATAAGGAGCTTTACTGCTCTGCCTGCCTAATTATGAAAGCCTGTGGTCCATTGGGAGATAAGGAAGCCAACATTCATGACCCTATGGGAATAGTATTTATCCTATGACTTGTGTTGTGACCTCTATCACTGAGGCTTACAGAAACATTTTGAATCTATCTGTCTTTAAAAAAAGGAAACTCCTCAGATGCTATATTTAATTAATATATTTACAGCTGGTCGTCCTAAACACAAGGCAGACGCGCATAGAACCAGTGTCATTTAACTGCGTTTTTCAAGAACAGGTCACTGTAGAAATGGCGACATATCGGCATTTACAAGGCTGTTATAGCTGGAAGTGATTAGATTAAGCCTTCTAAAATATGAAAGTGACAACTGATAACCAGAAAGACAATCAGTAAATAGCTTATGCCGTGCCATTTAGCTTAAACAGTAATGTTCTGCACTCTGGTATATTTTTCTTCTGTGTTCATTTTCAGAATGATGGTTAGCACATTGTGTTGTTGTTCACAGCTAGGCTGCAGTGTCTGGATCGTTTGGCTGAACACGTCAACCATCAGTTTTCAGAAATCTCCTAGTTCCCCAACTTTTAAGACATGCTTGTGGTGGGGGGGGGGGGGGTGGTGGTGGATGTGTCTGTTGACCGCTGTCTCCCACAAAAGAGCCAACATTGGATGCCTTCTCATATGATTACAGATAAGGTCAGTGTTCTTGCCCTTCTCATACCAGGAGGTCAAGCCATCAAGATATTATCTCTTTATTTTTTCCATTACTTCTTTTTTTCCCACCAGGCTTGCCAGTTGTTACCAAGATTTTTAGTTTTTACCTTTTCATATCATGTCCCCCAATCATTGTATTCATTGAATTTCTGTAATCAGTTTGCAGTTTGATTTTCACCCGTCTTTTGAAGGATGGCCTGGTCGGTTTACTTTCTTTGAAATTTATTTGCATTTTACTTTTGATGGGGGAAAAGCCGTCCCAACTTTTTACCTTGGTAGTTTAGTTAGGGTGTTAGACTTCTGTCTGAAACCATGATGAAGATTATTTAGCAGCTCAAGTCACTGTACCCAGCTGCAGTATTGTAAATAGGAGTGACTGCACTTTATCTTCACCTTCACTGGCTGTAAACTCTAGTGGAAAATTCTGTATGTTTGTCCACTTCTAGACTTTGGTCTTCTTCCACAATGGCTTATTTATATGGAGACTATTGGTTCCTTGCCTCTCAGCCAGATGTGGTCTGACTTTGAAGGAAGCATTGATCTTATCTATGCTGGTTGGGCTCTCGGTTGGGAACCCGTTTCTAGGATAGGAACACCACAGAGAGATGTGGTAAGTCTAGACCACTGGTTCCCAATATTTTGGTCCACCGCCTCCTTGGACCACCCTAGGGCTCTCCCCACCCCCCACCACCACCACCTTTCCAAGGGGTGATGGCGCCCACTCTGGGAAACACTGGTCTGAGCAGTTGTGAACCCTGGTCTTGCACCACCACCATGTAGGGTTCAACAGCTCTGCATCCTGAGCCGATATCAAGAAGTAACTAAACAGAACAAAGTATGTAAGGGCACATAATTTTATTTCTGTGGGAGCACTGCATCCTAAAGTTTTCCTACACTTCTGTCTATATCTGCTTCATGTCGCTGTTGACACACAAGGTATTCACAAGTGATCTCCCTTGCTGCTGGTACGCTGCTTTACTGTCCATGGTAATCCATGTCATTTTACATTACTTCATTCCCCTTTCTACTGTCCTTCCCCAGGTTTCGTAAGGTTACCCACGTCTCTTTTTTCTATCTGCTGTCCTTGCCAGGATGTCATGAGCTGTCTCCATCCTCTTCTTTTCATATACTTAAGGTATGAAGATGTTTTACAGGTGTTGCCAGTGTAAGTGCCCTGTCCGTATTTCTCACATTTCATTTTGCCAATTCCATGGTGATTTTCTGTTATTTAATTAGTTTGTTATCTGTTGATAAAGGCTTGTCATTTCCTGTTCATATTTCTTTTGTTATTGATCGCTTGGTTGCATGTGACATTGGATGTTTAATTAGTATATTGTTTTGCATGTTGATTTGGCCTTCTGCTTTGCCCTTATAAGGGTGGTTGGCACGTTATAGTTAACAGCTAGGCTGTGATCTCTGCGCACCTATTGGCACAACACAGCCACTTTAAGCAGACTCCTAAATTGGTCACTTATTAGGACATGCTTGTTAGGGGTGATGCTGGGTCTCTTCTTTGTGTCTTTTCTAAAATAGGGCCCTGAAACTAGAACATTCAAATATATACAGGCGCATTTTGTCCTTTCCCTCTGATGTGCCATAATTTGTTCTCTGTTTAGTTTGTCTTTTTCTTCTTCTTATGGCCTGGAGAGAATGAGGCACCTCAGTGTAACCAGAGGGTCTGGCTGGCTTAGATGGAAGGCAAGACATATAACCAGATTGTGACCGGTTTAATCAGTATTGGAACTCTGCGCTGGCTGCTGAAGATGAGGACAGAGCATATATGGAAATGCCCCGAGTACTGTGAAGTCAATTCTTGACTCAACTCAACTCCTTCTTCTGTCCTCTATCTCCTAGAGGAGAAAAGGCCCTCAACCAGCTCACGCCAAGCCGTCCTCTCCTTGGCTAATACATGTTGCTCACTCCACTTCCTTCCTATGTTTTTAACTTCACTAAGGAGAATGGCGCTGCGAGGAGTTACCAGGCGATCTGGCCGACCCTCAACACTCAGGGAGAAAATGAGACAGATATACAATCAGAATACAATCAGACATTACTGGCACCATCGAAATTGGATCCCTTCGCTTGCTGCAGAAGATGGGAACTGAGCACTTATGGGAGTGTCCCGAGTGCTGTGGTGTCAATTTTTAATTCAACATTTCAACCTCACTCTCTGGCTCCCTTCTGCATGTTTTGGTTTTTTTTTTTTGGTCTGCTTTTATTTTTATGTCCTTGAGGGTCACAGTAAAGAGACATTCTAGTTACACTGTTCTCAGGTTTTCTCAACATGTCCTTTCCAATGCCAGCATCTTTTCTTCACCTCTTGATTCACTGTTATTTGTTTAGATCTCTCTCAAAGCTCAGTAATAGTGATTCCATCATACCATTTAACTCCATCTATTCTGCCTGGGCACCAGTTCATGAATTTTTCTGGTTTATTAATAATTGTTTTAGTTGTTCTCCATGATTCATACAGCAGTACTGATTTGAATTAGAATTTAAAATGTTTTGTTTGGTATCAGTTTTAATTTCTTTTTACTTCCACACATTTCCTAGCGTGATGAAAACTCTTCCTTGCCAAGATGTAAAATATTGTCTTATGAAAGTTTTAAAAACCCTAATAATAAACATTGTAATCTGGGTACTGTAAGATATGTTATAAACTGAAACACAATACATGTATCAATACCTTGATCAGTTTTTTGAATACATAAATTATTCCTTGTGATCCATAAATTATTTGTTGTGGTATATAAATTATTTCTGCAGCACATATACTGTTTGTTGTGATATATAAATTATTTATTGCAATACATTTATTATTTATTCTTCTTCTTCTTCTTCTTCAGCATTCTAAGCCCTTGCGATTCATTGCTGCAGATATTACCCGCCTCCATTTTTCTCTCTGGTTGGCTTTCTCTTTCCAGTTGGTGACACCAAGTGTTTGCAGGTCTGTCTGGACATTATCTTTTCATCGTCTTTTGGTCTGCCTCGTGGTCTAGGACTATTCATCTCCCTTGTGTATACAGTTTTTACTTCTCTGTCATCTTTTAAAATGCCCCAACCATTTCAGTCTTCTAGCTCTCATAATGCCAGTGATCAATGGTGATTTAAACAGATTATGAATTTCGTTGTTGCTTCTCACTCTCCATTGTTTGCATCCTTGATGAGTCCAAAGATTCGTCAAGAGACTGTTTTTGAAAACCTGTAATGAGGCTTCATTTCTTTTAGTTGTGCTCTAAGTTTCAGAGCCATATAAAACGACTAGTCTTATCAATGTGTCATATATTTTTATCTTGATGTTGCGAGACAGACACTTTGACTTTAGCAGATGTTAAATGGCATAGTTTACTTTTTTTTCCAGATTGTTCTTCTTCTGCCTTTCTATCCCCCAATGGAGCATAGGCCCTCAACCAACTCACGCCAAGTCGTTCTATCCTTCGCCATTGCATGGAGCTCTCCCCATGTCCTCCCAATCTTTCTAACCTCATTCTCCAGCTCTCTTCTCCATGTG